AGTATTTCCTCCTCACTGTCACCAAGTGCTTGCTCAAGGAGGATTTGTTGGGTTTTCCCTATGTAATAATATTGATAACAGTAAGGTCTAGACCTTTCTTTGTAAAGTGCCCTGAGATGACTTTTGTTGTGATTTGGCGCTATACAAATAAAATTTGATTTGATTTGATTTGACTTCTTTCTGGATGAGACTTGAACACACTTGGAATGAAAACTCTGCAGAGTGTCACTGTCTGGTAGCTGCACTTTGCCAGTAATCACTGGGAAAGCCCTGACTTTGTCTTGTTTCATTTGGGATTTTTTTCCCAAGTATTTCCTGAAGAAGCCGATCATGGAAATAACAGAGAACATGTTCCATATGTACCAGAGGTAATCCTTCTCCCAGTCAGCAAGGGCCTTCTCTGAAGTTTCATTTTCTAAAATCTTGGTGTAAACCTCTGGCAGGGGTGCTCCTCGTTCTTTGGAGCTGATCACGTCCCTCTCCTCAGGTTCTTCTTGCCCTTGTGGTCTGTTTGGGTCATTACCAGAGCCATCAATCTGGATGTCTTCTTCCTGTTTTCTCATGTTCAGCTGTGAATTTTTTTCATACTGTTGCATATCCACTCCATCCCAGTCCTCCTCCACCCTGGGATACGTTAGGAGACCCAGAGCCACCACAAACACTCTCAGCAGAATATCTTGCATCGTCAGTACTGTCTGTGAAAAAGTAAAATAGCATAAAGATTTATAGAAAAAATATAAAGATTTTTGAAAAAAGCTTTAGAGCTCTTTGAAATATGTAAACACAAAGAACTGAAAAAAGTCTTTGCCTTGATATGTAAACATACTTCATGAGAAATAGTCCTGCTGGTAAATTTTACAGTGTAGCAAAGCGAGATGAAGCTACTTCCTTGATGCCCTGGGACCATCCTCCTTACTAATTTCTGATTACATTCTACATAAACACCATTTATGACTGCACACAGCATTCAAATAAAATAAGAATACGCACCACAAGAAAGGATGATCTCAACAGTGCACTGTACTGTATTGTGTGAATAGGTAGAAAGGAGGAAGTAAGAGAGTAACCTTGTACAGGCTCACTAAACTCTTCCTATTTTACATGTACGTTGTCTTTCATGACTTATTTCCTGCACAGCCTGCCCATCTGTTCCGCTGCAACATTTGCCTGTGCAATACACTGAAGAAAACTGTGCAGATTTCCTGTAGGTTTAACTGCAAATTCAGAAACATATGGCATGAACTATTTACTCTAAGTCACTGAATGAATTATCGATGGTTTAATGTAACTATATGATACTCTCATAGGAAAGATTATGTATTGTGCTACATACTATTGCTCAAACATAAATTATGTGTAGAAAATGGTTTATGTCTGACATCATACCGCATCTGTATCTGCCCCTGCCCTTTGTCCTCCTGTGGGCTGCTTTGTTGAGCTTTGACTATGTGAAATAAACTAACAAATTAGTCATATTTTATACCAACAGTTTTTAGAAATTATTTATTTTTAATAATTATCATTCTTTAAATTATTGTATCTCAAGGGAGTGTGTCGTTGTTGGCAGTGTTGTGAGTCTACCAAGACAAATTCCAATCAACGATGTTGATATGGCAATAACGTACTGAAGCTTGAAATTTAATTTTGCATGCAATACGCAGTTGTGCCTTGATCTATTTGGTTTGGATTAAACAAGTGGAAACAGATTTACCCTTTACCTATTACACAACAAACAACTTTGCCAGCCAACGCCACAGATATTTGAATGGTTTGAAGCTGTGTTTGCATATCTCGATAATTGTGGCCACAGCTGAACAACACTTTATCACTAAGGTGTAGGCATCTTGAGTTAATACCATTACATGCTGCATTCATCTATGTAAGAAAAAGCATTCATGCGGCTTGTGAAAGGGCTAACTAGAAGCTATGCTTTCTGAGCACTGTAGCATGTTTATGTTTGAGAATATTTTATTACATCACACGAAACACAGGTGCATGTGAAGGGAGGGGCATGACAGATGATGTGGTCAGCTTTGAACAGCACCACAGAGAGTTCGAGAGACAACTTTCAGTCGCTCAGAGCTGTAACGTCTGACAGGAACTTTGCCATTATATGACTTTTTCCTTTGGTTAATCCACTCTTAAGAAAACAGGTAAGTGTGTGTGGGCTGTTACTTTCTGACAAACAAACAGCTGATTTGTATTATTATTTCTAGATCAAACTCTGATGAATCCTCAGTCTGCATGAAACCTGGTTTAGTATAAGAGTCATAGTTCACAATGAGCATATACATTTCTAGCACCATCTTCAAATCAGATACCTTTATAAGGAGGTCATATGCAACCAATATCTTTATTAATGATTGATAAATTGTTTACTAATGCTTTATTGAACAGCTATAAATCAATAAGAATGCCTTTTGAATTACCAGGATGTGAACATGACATGGTTTATTTACCATTACTGAAGATTTATTAACATATAGAACTGCTGACATGATGGTTTCTTAGCCCTTAACCACAGTTATTGACTTGACATTATTAACTCAACAACCAGATAGATAAGCTGCTCATAATGGCTTGTAAATGCTCTATAAAATATTAGTAAGTAAACATTAACCAACAATAAAGCAATACATAAGTTTATCCCTTTATAAAGAGGCTCTTGTCAGGAAGTGGTAGCAATTACTACTAAACTTTCATTAAATGCAATAGGAAAAGGGTTTAATAATTTTCAGCGCTGAAAAGTGTTTTCTGCCTCTGCATTTGTCTGTTGGTCACAGCCGGATATGGCAGACTCCAGTTGTTTAGAGCAATGTGCGTCAATTTGATTTACAGACAAGAGGCAGTTCAAAGTCAAACAAAAGAACCAATCAAAAGCAATGTTCAAAATTTAATGCAAACTGCCAAATGAATGGAGCCTACCTGAATGTTGAAACAGCTCCTTGTTTGCCTTGGTGTTATTTGCTCCCAAAAGATCCCAGAAGAAGGCATTCTGCACAGCAAAAAGATATGAAGCAACAGAATCAATGTTGCATATACATATAGAATTTTTACTGAAAAGAATACATTCAGATCTAACCCCTAGTCACCAGCATTTCCACAGTAACTGTGATTTAATTTCATATTTTTAATAAAAGTAGCTACAACTGATTACAGTTACATTTATTTAGTAATTTAATGTGTAACTTACCACCCAACACTATATATACATATAATGTTTCACCTTTTGCACCACTACTAACTGATTTGAAACCTTTTTACTAACTTTCCTTCTTTTCACAGATTTAACTGCATCTGAACAAAAGAACCACCATATCTGCCAAGATGGATAAGTTTCGTCTGATGTTCCAGTTCCTCCAGTCCAACCAGGAATCTTTTATGAATGGAATCTGTGGCATCATGGCACTAGCTAGTGCCCAGATGTACGCTTCCTTTGAGTTTAGCTGCCCCTGTATCCCAGAATACAACTACAGCTATGGGATTGGACTGCTTGTTGTTCCACCTATATGGTTCTTTATGTTAGGTTTTGTGTTGAACAATAATGTGTCAGTGCTGGCCGAGGAGTGGAAAAGACCCACAGGGGGACGGAGGAAGGACCCGTCAGTCCTTCGCTACATGTTTTGTTCGATCACACAGAGATCCTTGATAGCACCTGCGGTGTGGGTGTCTGTCACGCTCATGGATGGGAAAAGCTTCCTCTGTGCTTTCAGCATCAGCTTGGATATTGAAAGGTTTGGGAATTCCAGTCTCATTAAGGGACTGTCAGAGACGGACAAGATGAAACTGCTGGCAAAGATCCCATGTGAAAAGCTGTTTGACAATAAGCAAATAAGAGAGGCAGCAACAAAATATATCACGTGTATATCGCAGGTAAACGGGTCTTTTTTCCAGTTTGTGAATTGCTGTAAACTTGCTTTCTGACAACATTTTGGCAGAAGTAGACCTCAAGAGAACTGAAACATATCATTTCTCAGATCAACTGTCTGTCAAACCTGCACTTTGGTGGTATAGCCAAAAGGTGAACGAATATATCTGTGGCTACATGGTTGTCTGGAAAGTTGAGATTAACTATTGTAACTCTGTCAATGTGACTAGATTGTAGTTGTAGACGGTAACAAAACTACTTAATGTGGTTAAATTTGTACTCATCAGGGTTGACACAAGGCCTTTTCAGAAACAAATTTCTACATGCTACTGTTGGAAAAGCACAGGTGTAATTAACAAAGTAAATGATGCCTGAATTCCACTTGGCCGCTTCAGTTTCTGGGCCTGGTATTGACCATCCATTTGTCCATTATTGTCTAATTTTATGGGGGTCAAGGTCACGGGGGCATGTTTAGCAGGAACATCCAGACGTCCATCTCCTCAGCAGCACTGGCCAGGTCCTCCTGCAGGGCAGGACCCTGAGGTGTTCATAGACTAGATTAAATACATATAAATAATCCCTCCAGCGTGTTCTGGGTCTGCCTTGTGGTGCCCTACCAGTTGGACATACCTGGAAAAGGAAGCTGCAAAATATTCCTTTTCCATCCCATTTGACTGACTTTTTGACTTTAACTAAATACATAACAAAACACCAAAAACAATGCTGCATGTGCTGATGATGCAGACAGAAGGAGATTAACCAGACACTAGGGCCATTACACTGTCATCTATATTTTGACCACAGAGTTTTGAGTGTTCAAAGCAAGGCTTAGTTTGTTATACCAATATATTAATACATCTATATTTTACAGGCATGTGGGTGGATATTTTTGCTCATGATGACCTTCATAGCCTTCCTGATCCGGGCTATTCGACCGTGCTTTACTCAGGCTGCCTTCCTCAAGACCAAGTACTGGTCTCATTACATCGACATTGAGCGCAAGCTGTTTGATGAAACGTGTAAAGAGCATGCCAAGAGCTTCGCCAAGGTTTGCATCCACCAGTACTTTGAGAACATCAGTGGAGAGATGCAACACTTCCACCAGCATCACTCCAAGGATGACAGCGACAATGAAGACGAAAATAGGAAGAGCGATGAAGAAAAACTTCTGGGGATCAGGGCCCAGGATGATATGAATAAAGTGTTGTGGAACTGGCACACCTGCAAGCCAGCTCTGGCTCTGAAAAAGGACGAAATAGATGGTGAACACAATGACAGACTGAACGGAGAAGTCAAAGGAGTACTAAATGGGTTTGTAAAAGGACACACCCATAACGTGGAGAAAAAGGAGTGGGCGGTGTATTACAGTAAGGTCTGAAGGGCCTGAAGGGACAAGGAAAAACTTTTGTTCTAGAGTTGCAGGGCCTTATTTGTAAAAGTTTCATTAGAGGCATAACACTATATTTAATCAGATTTTTACTATAATGCATATAACATTATTTGAATGGCTATTCAGTCTGGTGGTATAATAATTGAACCTACGAGCTACAAAGTGGGAAAACATGTTTCAACATGTTTACTGAGAAGACGTCTGTTACTGGGTATAGTGCAAAACTTGTTTTAACTGTTATCATAACTATACGTATCTTGAATATCTGCTGAAAACATTTTGCTGTTGCTCCCTGAGGGATTGAACTTGGCAAAAAAATCTGTCGGCTGTAAATTCCAGCCTGCAGACGTAGAGCTGCCTTATCAAGCTGATAGTAAAAGAATTATTTGAGCCCACTGGAGAATTCTGTTTGATAAAGACTCTAATGAATGTTTGTGTAGCTCTCAAGGGCAGGGCCAGCTTATATAAATATTCTCAGGGCACAGAACAAAAAGTGTCAAAGGATTATATGAGCATGGAAAAAAAATGAAAGCCTTTATTTTTATGGACCTTTATCTTATGTGTTATAGCTTGTTTTAAGGGAAAACTGACTAACTGTTGAAACAAGAAATAACACAGTCTTCCTCTTATGGGTGACAATTTCAACACAGTGAGAGATTTTGCTGCTACAGTCTGACTTGGTCTGGTGTGACCAGTAGTTTATAGTGGCTAATGTTGGCTAGATGCTGTTGTATAACCGATATTAAATGGTCTTATACTTGTATAGCGCCTTTCTATGCTTTTTACAGCACACTCAAAGTGCTTTCACATTATTCGGCAATTCACCCATTCGCACTCCCAAGCACTCACGCATTCACATCACCGGGAGCAACTGGTGTCTTTAGTGTCTTGCTCAAGGACACCTCGACATGTTGACTGGACAAGCTGGGAATTGAACTGCTAATCCTCCGGTTAGGAAACGACCCGCTCTACCTCCTGAGCCACAGCCGCCCCCATTTACTGAGTCTGTTTTCAGACTTTGTGCTTTAGCATTTACTGTTATATTCTAACTGCCATTTGTAGCCAAAGTGGTCCATGTTCAGTAACACAGAGTCGCTGTAAAGCTAAATAGTTTGATGGGCCTTTATCTTTTTACTACCCGATGCAACCAGAGTTTATCAGAATCGTATAAAAATATCCTTTCCAGCAGAAAAGCTCTTCCATTAACACAGCTGTAAAATCTTAGTGTGTTATGATTTGTAATCACATTTTTGTCCTTAAACCTTGTCAGTAGCATGGTAATCCTATCACCTACAATATTTCCAATCAGACAAACATATGATTTGTGTAAAACAGAAGGCTGTGACAGCCAAAACTATTTACATGTCACTATAAAAACAAGGTCAACATTTGCATCTCTCCCTCACACCATGTTCTTGCTCAGCTGTTTTTTCAGTCCCTTCTTGGTGAAACTTTTTCGTTGAAAAAAAAAATCTATATTTTTTAAAGGAATTTCATTAGAGCTGAATATCTGTAACCTGTGAACATTTTCACATACTGCATATTTTCTGAAAACTGTTGATACCATGGTGTTTTCTCTATCTACCACCAGAGGGCGTGCTGTTACCAAAACCGCCATCCTTCACCAGCCAAAAACGACAACACAACCCTGTAGCTATAACACACATCACCTTAGATTCTGAATCGTGCACGCACCCTACAGTGCACGCAGTGTGTTAAGAACTGTATTTCTGCTCATGCATCTGTGCAGTCAATCCAGCTGTTCCTTGGCACACAGCAGTAATGTCATTACTAGAGCAGGAGGAGAGGCGGAGGGAGGGCAGAGTGAATGAAAATGGCACAGATCCCATTGAAGCCTCTCCCTCCCTCCCCCTGGGGATTATTAGAGCTGCACTCCCCTTGACCGTCTCACAGCTCACCCAGTAGCCCAGCAGCTGTTCTCTCCCTTAGCGAACTGGCAGCCAGTGTCCTGCTGTGGGGGTGGACATGCACGCAGCTGTCCAGGCTGTGATTTTATGCTTTGTCTCCCCCTTTTTTATTTCTGTTTTAAAATTATTGTCCTTCACATCTTCTCCTGTGCAAAGATACCTCCCTTTTATAGAGAGTGAACAAAGCAAACATGGAAAAATAATCTGCTGCTGTTCTAAAAATATCATGTCTGTGTGTGTGTGTGTGAGAGAGAAAAGGAAGGAAGTGGTCATCTCTTTGTCCTCCCTTCACACAAATGGCTTTGTTTTGGTTGTCAGGACATCGTCTTGCGCATGTTACTGAGCAGGGCCTCCCTTGACTTTGCTGCAAATGTTTCTCTTGTCTCTCACACATACATGCACAGGGGTGTGCGCATACAGACACATACACATGAGCATGCTTGCAGGCGCCCTATTCGTCAGTGTCTGGCTCATTCTGCCTTTCTTCTGCCTACAGATTGGAGGACAGAGGTAGCGAGGGAGGGTTGAGGCAGAGGAGAGTTGCGAGGCAAAACGGCTGGTCACATGAGCAGAGATCTGTTTACAAACCCAAGGCAGAGCAGAGCAAGGGGGAGGAAGGGAAGGCGGATTGCAGGTTCTCTCTGAGCACCATTAAGGATTGGGAAGGGAAGAGGGGAAGTCTGCCATGACCAAGCCAGCTGGAGGTGGGGGAGACTGAAAACGACACACGCACACACACGCCACCTTTGTTTCTTATTTCTTTTTCTCATTGAAGAAGCAGATGGTTGGAGGGAGAGTAGGATCTCCCCCTCCTCCGCTATGCACACACACATGCACTGACTGACACACAAACACGCACTTAACAGCAAAATACCAAACCCAGCTAGAGGACTGTCGTGGATTGCATGGAGCTGTCCTCACTTTGTTTGGGCTTTGAGGGAAAAACACCTTTGCCTTCAATACTGAAGAGGAATATCCACTGCAAGATCAGAGGTCTGGAGGAGGAGACAACAGACAAGAGAGGAGGGGGATGAGATCTGTGAAAATCCTCGGTTAAAAAAAGCAGCTTTGGGAGAAGACAAAGCACAGACTAATGCCAGATAATTACCTCCACTGGACGAGAACTGTCATTTTGAACAGTGGATGTCATTGAGTTTGGTGAAGGGACGACACTGCAGGCAAAGTGAAGTCAAAGGGGCACTTTTCTGCTGGTAATGTAAGTATTTCCTGGTACCAAGCAGCCTGTGTTGTTTACGACACTGTGACTGAGTCAGACTTAGCCTTGCACAATAACAACTCCCAAATAGCACATGGTATGAGGCATCTGAAAAGAACTATCATTTCTTGTCAACACAATTTCTTTGTCTCTTCTTCTCCCCTCTTATGATGACATCATTCTCACTGGAATCCAGGAGCACATGAGGGCTCCAGTTCTGGTCCAAACCCCAGATCTCCCAGTCCTTACACAGAATGGTTAATCCAGATTTGGGAACAGACTGCTGAGCCAAAAAAACCCCCACCACTTTTGGAGGATTTTATGGAATCTGAGCAAATGTAAAAATCTTGATGGTTGTTTTTTGGAGAAGCTAACGCAACCCAAAAAAAGAGAGAAGCAACGCAAGGGTGACTGAATCCAGCTCTGCGAACAGAGTGAGCGTCCAGAGCACTGGCCCACGAGCTTGGCTCTTATCCAGCCTTCTCCTGACAGAGCCTGAATTTACTGCTGCTGTCCTGAGAGTCACATTTCATGCAACCATTCCAATGGTGTAACGGTAAGTGAGTGGATTTTTATACCAAACACAGGGGGAGGTGGTAGCACATGTACTTGTATCTCATAAAAACCCAGTTACTTAGGCGCTGGAACACATTATCCATATTAGATGTGCTTCTGAAATGGCCAATTACCAAGAAAGTGAAGTGTGTGAAGTGCTTTGAGGAGGGTGAGGACACTAAGCAACATTCAAGGTCTCATGTTTGTTTGACAGTTGTGACAACTGGAACAGAAGATGTCTTATTCTCGAGCCTTATTCCATATTATTGTTTTGCTTCTGTTGAGTGCATCCATGCCAGGTTCAGAGCTGCATCCCTCATTATTGCTAAACTGGGTCTTTCCTACACTGTTCTCCCCCTTGTAAATCCCCCAACCCCCAACCATGTCAAATTATCCAACCCATACCCCCCACAGTGTGCAAGCTGTACCCATTCATTCACTCTAAAGACAGATGCATGGACATTTGGAGGTTGACAAAGACCATCGGCGCTGCAAATAGAAACAAGCCTGTGGAAGTGGGGCTTCCTCTGCCATTGTTTTACTAAATGGTCCTTCAGTCCCCAGAGTTCATTCTGTTTAATATACCCCACCCGCCTGCCACCTGCAACACACACACAGTTTGGTCTTACAAATACACGCAGACACTGTACGCTCCTGCCCTTCCATCCCCCAGTGCTGCACACACATACATACACAAACACTCCACCAGTAACCTCCATAGAGTCTGTGGTAGCAGATGGTGGTATGGCGGAAGTGGTGCCTATCCTCCATGTTTGTCTTGTACACAGCTCACTAACGCACAGTCCTGCAATTGCCTCAGTTCCCATAACACTGCCAGTCATAGCTCCCTGGACACACCTGCATCCAAACAGCAACTACTACATTTTACCCCTGTTTTATGTCAGTGAAACTCTTGATTTGGTGGAAATGAGCCAACGAGTGCAACAGGAAATAAGACTAGTCGCAGTTTTGTCATGATCAGGTTTTATGTCTGTACCCACCCAGAGACTCCAGGCCTGGTGGCACTAGAGGCCTGTGATTGTAATTCCATGTTCTAGTTAATGATCAACAATCACAGATATAAAGAGTTGAATTCTTTCTCGACTCAGAACAGAAAGTACCTGCCAGTGTTTATGCTTCCGAAGTCAAACTACCATGTGCTGTAGAGCATACAGGGATATTTCATCAGAGGTGATTATAATGGAAAGTAAACACTGAAGTTGCAAGACTTGTTTTCCAGTAGCTCTATTTTGAGGAGGAAAGTGCAGTTTAGAAACACTCTGGCTGACAGAAAGCTCAAAACATGGAGCCCTGTAAAGAATCAATGTTTACATTTTCTGTCCTGGGCAATCTAAAAGAATGACAATTTAAAAAATGAACCACATAAGAAATGAGGAAGTGTTGAGTTTTTTTTTTCTATCAGCTTTTAACCTTACAAAGTAACAGTTCAGTGCATATGTAATCTCTCTTTGCAAACCCTTCCTGACAGGATGCCTGTGTGGTTTGGCTTCTCAGCGTTCTGAACACTACTGCAGCATGACGTCTGACATCTATCACCTCCCGCTCAACGTGTATGTCATCGTGCTGGGCATCGGCCTTTTTGTCTTTATGCTCAGCCTCATCTTCTGCTGCTACCTTTTTAGGTGGGTAGATGGCTGACAGTATTGATAAGTGAGAAGGAGAAATGTGGAAAAGTACAAAAGATTTTGAACAAGCATTGTGACACAACGTGCAACAGCAGGTGAAATGAACTCAAAACTTATGATGCATATTTATGGAGCGTGGCCCTGGAGAGCTGCCAAAGTTACTATATATAGTATATAATTTAAACACATGTAAGCATTATGCCAGTATTTATCTATGTACATTACAATATACAAGTTTATATTTCAACTGCAAAACGTCCTGCTTCCCCTCAGTCCCACGGAGCCTTTTAGCTCGCTGTCATACCACAACTCTTACTTCTCTCTCGCTGTTGTCAACAGTCTCGATATCAGATACAGCAGGCAGCTGTTTTCAGCGAAAGGCTCTAAAAACCCACTCTGTGCTGCCTGCCTAACACCAAACTGCAGGCAGACAAAGTTAGCAGTAAAACAGCTGACTAATAGTTTACCTATTATCTGTCAGCTAAATACCCATATAGTTCCCTCAGGAGTTGGCAGAAACCTGAAAAGAGCTCAAATGAGAGTAAACACAACTCTGAATAAATACTAATGTTGCTCTGATTCTGCCGGATCTGTAAACCAAAAACTGTTTCCTAATACATTCACCATAAGAGCTTTGGCAGATACTAATATAGTTGCAGCTTGTTTTGCTGTCCCCAAGAGGCACAAAAGTCAATTAATGCAGGCTTTAAAGAATAGTTTGACATTTGGGGTACAGCCTTATTCGTTCGTTGTGGATGTTGAGATGGAAAGATCAAAACTTCTATATTTGTCTGTTAAATATGAAGGCACAGTACATCCAGCAGCTGGTATGCTTAGCATGTGGATGAATAATAGTCTGGCCTCCCTGTAAACCACTGACATGTAGTGTGTTGATTAGTGAGCTGTACATACTAAGACGTTCACCATAACAATGTCATGAGGAGCTTGCTGTGCTGCGACAATGTGCTCAAACTAAGACAGGTTTAAAAAGCATATTTAAAGAATTGTTATAAAAATTGTATGAGTTTATGTAAAAAATTACTTTCTCTTTATATTGAAAAAACAAAATACAGTATCAGTCTGGCTATAAAATGATATGAGTAAAATGATATTGAGTCAAATTTCAAATGAGTTTCTACAATGTGCTGATTCCAATATTATCAGAAATTATGGTTTACCACTAATGTTACGGTGCCCGTCCCTTTAGTATCTGTAGCTGTGTTGGCCCATTGTGGGCTACTGCTTATGGCAGGATTTTTGTATCATCGATGATTAATTAATGACCTTGATTGATCAGGTATTTTGTTTTTTTTTCCATAAACAGTTTATTGATATATTTTCTAGAAAAGTAACTATCAATATATTCATCAATACTGTGATATGAAATGACATATACCAAGATGGAGGATTTTATCCATACACAGTAGGCCTAAATCAAAGTTGTACTGCAGACAGGAAATGGGGACCATCGATTAATAGCATGCCTTACTGAAGTTACAGTTATTACTACATTACTGTAGAGATCCTGTCCTCTCTCTCTCTCAGGTTGAAACAACAAGGAACAAGGGAGCAGTTCAGCTACAATGAGGCAAGTCACTGCAGTATCTCTCACTGTGGGTGAATATGTAACATCAGCTTCTGAGGCAGGTTATAAATACTCCTATAGCATCTCACACTGTTACTGTCAACTGTGAAACCTACCGCTCCACACAGATGACCTTGACTCCATCCATGTGCCGTTGCACCGATTTTAAGTGTTGCACTGTGAAATTTGTCTGACATGGTGAGCAGGTAGCAGGGTGTGACAAGTGCACTGGCAGTGGGTGTGGTTCTGTGTTCAGCTCTGGGGAAAGTTGGACACCAGCTGCAGCGTTCTGCATTATCGGTATTCAGGAAGGTTTTTAAAACCATTCAACAAAACAAAGAGCACACAAATTCCTGCAGATATTTTAAGCCTCAGGACACTGAACCCAGGCGAGGCGTCTGTTTTACATCACAGCTTTTTTGCCAACATACTGACCCAGGGCTTTTCCCACTGTAGGTGGTGCTGAAGGGAGCAAGCAAGAAGCTGAGCCTTCTAGGAGTAAGTCCTACTTTCTGAAATGCATGTACTGTCACTTGTTGTATACATCTATATTGAACCCCGATAGCTGTACACATTTCATCTTACCCACGCTGATTCCATGCCAACTCAAATGATCCATTATGAGCTGGGGGGGTGCGGCTGGTTAACTCAATTTCTCCTCTCAGATGTGATTAACATGCTGCATATGTCAGTGTCTGCTGGGCTGTCTACTTGTTGCACTATTTAGGAGCCCAGGAATAAACTGCACTCATTCAAGATGCATTAGAAAAAGATGTGGTCCCATCTCTTGGGACTCCTGAAAAGATTTCTTTTCCAAGTTCTTTTTTTTTTGGTGGTTCAGGATAATTGGGATTTTGAATTCATTATCCTATCTCTGTTTTTGTACAAAAGACAGCCGATACAGTCAATGTGGTCCTGCTGCTTAGAAAGATGGTGAAAATAAAGGCACTATATGACAACACTGGCACATGTGGTGCTCTAGGTCGTCTGTCACTCAAATTGACTTAACATAGCTATAAGTGAAAATGTTATTGAGATACAAGGATAGAAAAATCACAAACTGACTTAATTTTTCTTCTTGCAGCAAACCTGTGCAGTGTGTCTGGAAGAATTCAGGACCAGAGATGAACTGGGAGTGTGCCCATGCTCACATGCATTTCACAAGAAGTGAGTGTTATTAAACTGTTAACATTTTAAAGGAAGGTTCAAGAAAACTGTTATGTTTATTCCCTCTCCTGCTGAGTTTTATGAGAAGATTAGCACCACCCTTACACCTGTGTGGTAAACAGCCTTTATAACGTTAGGCAATCCGAGATACATTTAAGACGGAGCGTTATTATCAAGAAAATAAGTTATTTTTGTAAATGATTGAGTTACAACTACTGAAATCAAATGCCACATCAGTTGTTAAGTTATTCAAGTCACTGAAATGCTAAAAGTAATAACAATCGGATGTGTAGTTTTAGAATTGCATCAGAACAAAGATACTCCTAGAATTAAAGCCACTTGTAGAATTTTTGCCCACCTAAAATGATGACATTTGAAATTTCAGTTAGGCTATGATTCAAAGACTGGAAGATACCTGCAAATAATGTGTTGGACACAAATGAAACCTTTTATCACCTAATAATGGGTTTACCAACAACAAGAATCTTGCCATGCAGAGCTGTTTTTTTTTAAGCTGCCTCTTCCCGTTTGTGGCAGGTGCCTGCTAAAGTGGCTGGAGATCCGCAGCGTGTGCCCCATGTGTAACAAGCCCATTCTCCGGCTCCACACCGACACCCCCCAGGGTGCTGAAGGTCCCATGAACCCAGAGGAGGTGTGAGGGAAATCTGGAAAGAGGAAACGCAGCTTCCCCTTACAGAAAACACATGTTAAATACACTAATGATGACAGACAGCGATCATATGTAAGACATCTCACAGGAAATGTTAATAATGATCCCAAGCGGCCGCCTTGCTGCTGACCTTCCAGCAATATGCCTTGGTGAGAATTGGATACTGTCAGCACCAAAATGATTCGGTCAGAGCAGTCAAGGAGTGGGTGTACGAATAGGATCTTTTCATAAGAATGCTCTTAGTTCTACTTCCATATTGCACTATTCACCAAAAACATGACAGGAAAAGGAGCCACCTTAGCAAGCAGGATATCATTGCCACCGTCACTGGACAACTAGTGTAGCACTGCCAGGGACAAACAACACTACAGGCATTGAGCAGGGTGTCAAAGTACAGGATCAGTATGGATACCTCTAATATCTCAGGGGTGTTACCAATACAGCCAGCACAAACCATGTCAGTCACCCTATACCCCTGTGCCACACATGCATCTTCAGTACTGCCAACATAGGTGAAACACTCCAATAGTCAGAGGTAGCTGAAACCTCTGGCTGAAACCAAGACCAGCGGGATTACAACCATGGTGATTTAAGTAGAAAATATTGCTTCCGATTGTGTCCCAGACCCTTTCCTTTGAAAAACAGACTGATAGCAAACTAGTCTTGCCTGTATGTATTGTATGTAGACGTGTCCCTCTCTATATATATATTGTTATTTTGTATTTGTTGCTTTTAAATAAAATGTCATGTAACGTATTGTAATGTGTTGGATTTATTGAAAAGTCAATAGAAAACATTTTATATGTCTATTCAGACACAGTCATGATATTCATTAATCTCAGGTCAGACTCCTTTACATACAAAATGGACTAAAATGTAAGCTCATCAAGTGTTACACAGCTGTTTTTTTTTTTTAAACTTTTATAGCTCGTTACAATTTACTTTACAAAAGTTTGTCGTGTTACAGCATCAAAGCCAGATCTTTAAGGCTGAACAGTTTCCAGTCTATAACTATAAAAGCTCAATTACAAGCCAAGTAGGCAATTTCTTTGTGAAAAGGAAACCATATGGGCATCTGCAGCTACAAACATGCACACAGAGCAGACCGAGCGTGGCGCACTGCTGTCCACACACGTACACAATGTATGTACTGACTGTGTGTGTTTGGTCTTTAGTTGGCAGCCTCAGTGCCTTTAGCTTCCACAAACTCCATGGCCTTGTCTTTGACTGCCTGGATGCTCTGCGGGGTGCCATGCTTCTTTTCGTACTCCAAGTAGCGCTTGAAGAAGAACTTGATCTTTTTCACTGAAACACTCAGGTAGATCACCCGATCAAAGAGCGCCCTGCAGGAGACAAACACCATGAAGCGCTCTTAATGTGTGACCATAAAACTGGTCTCGATAAGCTCACAGATGTCAGTTTCCATCTAGTAAACCCATCAAACTGATTAGACAGGTCTTTTTTTTTTATTAAGTGTGAACAGAAAAGCTGAAGAAATCAAATCAAACATGGTAAAATAACAATGAGGAGTAGGAATCCAAACTGTCTGTTCACCTGATTTCCTTCTGTGTTCCATGTTTGATCGTGAGGTCGATGAAGACGGACCAGAGGTCTGTACGTTTTGGGTAGCTCGTCAGGACTTTGTCAAACATGGTGTGACCTTTCTCTGCGTCACCATACCGGAACTCCAGCTGAGCGAACTTGGTGATCACATCCACACCTCAGAGCAAAGACAACAATACATAAAAGTTAAAACCTGTGCAGAGACACAGCTGGGATAGGCAAACAGAATCTGAATGGTCACATACAACTGCACTTTGACCATATAGCTGAAGGGCTGAGGACTCACTGGCTTCAGTCAGTTATAAACTGACATCAAACTCTTTTGCCCTGAGCATTCAGTCAGACCATCTTACTTTCTTTGGAGGGCAGACTCTTCAGCGCCCTCTGCAGGACAGCACTGGCAGCATCGCTCTGACCCTGCTGGAGCAAGAAGGACCCGTAGCTTAGCCAAACCGCCTTATTCTGCCGGAAACGCTTCACCATCGTCTTATACAATCCCTCCGCCTCCTGGATGCAGCCACAGAACAGAGTGCACAGAAGGAGAAATATGCAGACATTAAAGGCTACAAAAACTTTATTTGAGCACAGAATGGGCAAGATGTGCGAGTTCAAGGCAATTCATGTTTTGCAAATCTGTATGTCCGCTAAGATCGAGTGACATAATTTTTGTCATGCTCCCAGGTCTGCGAGACTCTGTGTGGATGCCCACGTGCAGGTCAAACATTTGAATCAGTATGCACAGCAAAAGCCCCAACAGCGCGTGTGCCACAATGCTCAAAACCATCAGTGTACACAGACAGAAGACAGACCCTTGATTTTAAGTATGATTTTATTTCATCCTTGCTTTGTGTATCTAAAATTTCTCAAACACTCAGTAGACTACCTTAGTCTTGTTGGACTTGGCGTAGATGTCAGCCAGCTGCTGGTAGACGGGCATAGGCTCACAGAACTGCAGCGCCCGCTCAAACACTTTCTTGAGGCTCTCCAC